CTAGATGTCAATCCCTATTGCGTTTATCTATTATTGTTATTACAGGCTACCTCCCATCTGCCCTTTGTCCATTCTCCAGATAATATGGCTTCCAGGTGTCCACTGTTCATCACCTATCAACACTACTTAACTGTTAAATGTTGGCTTCTATTCAGAACTAATTAACTGTTTAGTGTTGGCATCTATTCAGCGCTAATTAAATGTTAAGTGCTGGCTTTCATTTGTTCCATTGTTTTGCCCGTATCTCTGATGTCGTATTACTTTTGTTGTTCTTACATGTACATATATATGCTATCTGCCTCATACCATTCATTCACCTGATGAAGGAGTAAGGATATACTCCTCCAAAACGTTGTGTTCCTCATAATAAAGAAGTTGACCTGCATAAAAAACTCTCTTCCTTGTGTGTATCACTTCTAAATGCCATTCAAAGACCTAGTTCAAAAACCACCTAATATCATGCATAGTGATGTAAATCCCTAATAGTTGGTAAGCACAACCCAATTTTGTTGCAATTGGTCAATGCAATGGTATCACCTTCCCAGGAACATACGTTGTCCCTAGGAAGTCTATTATTTGTTCCCCTGTAACAGTATCATTGTTCACACATCAGTTTTCGGATTTTATGGAAGCAGTCATACCATTCAAAGAGGTGAGGTGAAATTGGGTTTTACGTCGTGCTTGAGAATATTTCGCTCATATGACGACGTGCATGCGTGTGTATGTGCGGCTGCTTGTACTAGCCCAGACTTAAGCTGGTTTTATAGTGCTAGCCCACTGAGATACCATGCCGCAGTGAAGCATGAATACCCCACTCAGACACATTATACTGACTCCGAGCCGACCAGTTCTTGTTGTACCCATTAATGCCGAGCGCCAGGTAGGGACCAACAAGTACCATATTTTAACGTCTTTTGGTATGACGCGGTCGGAGATCGAACCCGCGACCTTCCGCTCTCCGGGCAGATGCTCTAACCACTACACCAGGGAGGTGGTCCCATTCAAAGAAAACATCGTCCACATCAATGTATGAGGGATGCAGTGTTGATCCATTTCTGGTCTCAACTGTTGTGTAGTAAGGAATCTCACAGTTCGCACGTCATTATACGTTCATACGTATCGCTTTTCAGATTGAAACGATGTACACAAGAAATTCAGCGTGAAACCAACGTACCATAGAAATGTTATACAATTCAGTTACATAATATATAACTAACAAATCATTGCCAGTCAGTACACAGCTGAGTGCATGGGCTGGCCAGGTGACTCTTTCCTGGGTCTATACAGTCATTGACTGTTTGATCTTTCCTCATAATAGCAAACACTTGATTATGTTAGCCCTTTGTTTACAGCTTGAATTAGTGGCATACTGCTAAATGGAGACAACCTTAGACATAGAGATTACTAAACGAGTGTTTGTCAGATACCATGTATCTTACAACGAGTTGTTTCAAAACGTATTTAACGAGCGAAAGCGAGTTAAATACGTTTTGAAATAACGAGTTGTAAGATACATGGTATCTGACAGACACTCGTTTAGTAATCTGTTTCTTACACACCATAAGATCGCGCCATTTTATGGTCGAATAGATTCAAATTTCATGTTTTCTCATCGTAGGTGCGCAATAATACATAACACAACGTTTATGAATGAGTGACGTCACTTGGCTTCCTAATCACTACTCATCCCCATGGTGACCCTCCACAAAAAGGTTTCTGCCACCTCTTCGCATCATCAAGGCAATAGTGATAATGATAACTAGATAAGATCACAGAAAATTAATTAAACCCTCTAAAACGATGATGTTACCATGCAAATGTGGATGATTTTAATTCTTGCAAGCGGAAAATATTTGAGCGAGTGACGTCATCGTTATCGCTTGGTGGTTGTCGTCATCGGAAGATTGTTTTGGATATCTCTGCACATTGGAGATCTGTGCTTGTGTACCAGTTTACGTTCAATGTTCTCCCATCGACCGGAGCCAAAACTTTTGAGTGTGTGTAATTAGGTGCACCCAGTGTGCTTGAATGTGTTAATGGGGGAATACTCTTCTTCGCCACATCCTTCTCGTTTTCCCGAGCCAGAAACTGCCACTTGGAATGTAATGGAATTTACGGAGTTTTCAGTATGAAATGTGAGTTGATTACATTCTGTAAGTTATCAAGACATAAACTTTTCATTATCATGCGTCGGAGGAATATCTTGAGCAATGACTTATTTGTTTAGATCAACCGTTCCTGTACATGTTCGATTGAATAGAAAGGACGTGTGCCGCCATTTGCACTCATGAAACCTTGCAAAACGTACCATGTTGTACATTGTTTCAACGAGTGTGTTTTGGTTCAGATTGTCATGAGTGAATTTGCTAACATTGGAATCACATAGTATCATCGGAGCTGGAAGTGGGTCTTCATCATGTGTATCAGTGAAAAATGTCATCTTCATCAATGCTTTAAAGAAACAACGAGGCAAATCGATCTCACAATGGACAGGCACTGACGTTATCGTGTCAGGTATTTTTGCAAGACGACACATGACACTTGTCCATCTCTCCAGTAAAAGTACCAGTGTTGTACATTTTGAATATTCGAAGGGATTCAAGGGCTTTATCTGTAACGGTGATTTTCACATTATTGTTTACACAGGTATCACTGATTATTGGAGCCATTTTGAATTCATGACTAGAAATCAAAAGTTTTAATAAAAGGAATTAGAAAATAAATAGATTTGTGTTATATTTATTCTACTTGTGACTCATTTTATAAATATCTGTTTATGTTGCAATCGCGAAAATAACAGGTAGGTGTAAAGGGTATTTATTGCACGAGTAACAGGTTTCTGTTCGATTGAAGCACGAGTAACTTATAAATAGAGATTACTAAACGAGTGTCTGTCAGATACCATTTATCTTACAACGAGTTGTTTCAAAACGTATTTAACGAGCGAAAGCGAGTTAAATACGTTTTGAAATAACGAGTTGTAAGATAAATGGTATCTGACAGACACGAGTACAGTAATCTGTTTCTTACACACCATAAAATCGCACCATTTTATGGTCGAATAGATTCAAATTTCATGTTTTCTCATCGTAGGTGCGCAATAATACACAACACAACGTTTATGAATGAGTGACGTCACTTGGCTTCCTAATCACTACTCATCCCCATGGTGACCCTCCACAAAAAGGTTTCTGCCACCTCTTCGCATCATCAAGGCAATGGTGATAATGATAACTAGATAAGATCACAGAAAAGTAATTAAACCCTCTGAAACGATGATGATACCATGCAAATGTGGATGATTTTAATTCTTGCAAGCGTAAAATATTTGAGCGAGTGACGTCATCGTTATCGCTTGGTGGTTGTCGTCATCGGAAGATTGTTTTGGATATCTCTGCACATTGGGGATCTGTACTTGTGTACCAGTTTACGTTCAATGTTCTCCCATCGACCGGAGCCAAAACTTTTGAGTGTGTGTAATTAGGTGCACCTAGTGTGCTTGAATGTGACATTGCTGAGGTTACGTTCACTGTCAATGGGGGACTACTCTTCTTCGCCACATCCTTCTCGTTTTCCCGAGCCAGAAACTGCCACTTGGAATGTAACGGAATTTACGGAGTTGTCAGTATGAAATGTGAGTTGATTACATCCTGTAAGTTATCAAGACATAAACTTTTCATTATCATGCGTCGGAGGAATATCTTGAGCAATGACTTATGTGTAGATCAACCGTTCCTGTACATGTTCGATTGAATAGAAAGGACGTGTGCCGCCATTTGCACTCATGAAGCCTTGCAAAACGTACCATGTTGTACATTGTTTCAACAAGTGTGTTTTGGTTCAGATTCTCATGAGTGAATTTGATAACATTGGAATCACAATAGTATCATCGGAGCTGGAAGTGGGTCTTCATCATGTGTTTCAGTGAAAAATGTCATCTTCATCAATGCATCAAATAAACTACGAGGCAAATCGATCTCACAATGGACAGGCACTGACGTCATCGAGTCAGGTATTTTTGCAAGACGTGACACTTGTCGCATCTCTCCAGTAAAAGTACCAGTGTTGTACATTTTGAATATTCGAAGGGAATCAAGGGCTTTATCTCTAACGGTGATTTTCACATAATTGTTTACACGGGTATCACTGATTGTTGGAGCCATTTTGAATTCATGACTAGAAATCAAAAGTTTTAATAAAAGGAATTAGAAAATAAATAGATTTGTGTTATATTTATTCTACTTGTGACTCATTTTATAAATACCTGTTTATGTTGCAATCGCGAAAATAACAGGTAGGTGTAAAGGGGTATTTTTTGCACGAGTAACAGGTTTCTGTTCGATTGAAGCACGAGTAACTTATCAATGAATTTTAATCAGGAAAGTAGTCCGTCATACCCTGACCCTGGGTCATCACCATGGAGTAGCCAATCACGGGCTTAGAAATCGATCTCACACATATGTGTGATACCAGTTTTCTCACATGGGTTTCTCACCCACGGGTGTGTAAGAAAATATTGTACAACTATGCGTGCCTAAATCTGCTTGTTATTGTGCACACATTCTGCATACACGTACAGTTGACAACGCTGACCAGCAACGATTGAAATAGTTTTGAAAAGATAATATAACTGTAAACGATTATGTTTGCATAATATTTTATTACACATTGTGAACAGTGACGCAAGGGTTATAAACCCAGATAATAACATAGAAATACAATGAAAATGTATAAAAAATAACATGCTCAATACTGTGCTTAAAAAAGTAATATCACGCGGGATTAAAGTCTTATGGAGCTCGCTTTCTTCGTTATCCATTTGGATACTACGAGCATACACCGAGTAAGTTTTCCACATGAAATCTGTTACAGTGAAATCGAAGCACTTGTCCACTGCGTCCTCCTGTACAGATATTTTCGTGCAAACATTGCAGTCTGGTATGAAGAGTTTTCGCTGTATGTGTCAATAAAAAATACCTAAGTTGTCTTTTCCCAAAGGGTATAATTCAATAGCAGCATTACAGACTGACATTTCCAACAGTGTCTTTATATAGTTGGGTGTCGCGTTACCACCATCAGCCAGCCAGTGCCATCAAGCCTTGTCACACCTACAAATGTCACGGCTTTCCTCTAAGCCATCTCGGAGTTACAGCAAGATCAATCATTATAACATCACAGCGTCTTTATACTGCACCACTTCACAAAGGCTCCGAACCCACCCGGCTCATATTTGATAAAATGCATCTTCTACCCTTGGGATGAGGGTAAATAGTAATGTGCCTAGTGTCACATGATTTTGCACCCATGCACATGCTTTTTCTTTTTGTCGGACGTTGCCATGACACAGCTGCACACACTATAGTTCCTCTGCAGCTGTTTGCGCGTGCTGCCCTGGGAACACAGTGACCTTGAACTATGACTCCTCCTTGTTTTCCTCGGTTGACCATCCTGAACCTCTTCTTGTTGGACCTTCTTGAGAAGCAATACATCAAACAAGCAATCAACGTTCAGGTTACATTTGGCACTGGACTCCACGTAAGAACAACCCATTTCATCCCGGGCTAGTTTCGTGGCGGTCTCGGTTGACACCTTCCTTGTCGTGTCGCAGTCCAACTTGTTGCCAACGAGGACGACAGGGACATTTGCTCGACCTGCAGCGGAAACCAGAACCATATACATGCAGCTACTGAAAGTATCAATATGTACTCAAACAAGTGTGACTGGGATGGACTGCTTCCAAGCAATTAACGATACGTGAAACAGAACTTGTTCTTGAGGCGACTCTTAAGGGGTTTTCTACTGGGCTAACACATAGTGTCTTGTATTTTTGGTAATGTGGAATATGTTCGTGATGTTACCTTAAAGGCTAAAAAAGTCGTATTTTTAAACAAAAATAGGGCCTTGAATATAATAATAAAAATAAAATACTGTCAAGATGTTATGCAAACAACCAGGTGATAATTGATTTTGAGTGCGAAACTACAGGAATACAGGCAAAGAAAGTAACCAAACAGTCATGAAGCAGTGACCTGGGACAGTGCGTGATACCTGTAATCATTGTCAGTCAAACCTGGTTGGTAGCGGATGCATAATGAACTCGTTTTATTGACATTTTAGAAGCTGTTAAGTAACAGTAAAGACAAGATTATTGACAACTGTGTAAGGACGTACGCATAAACATTGCATCGTAATACAAGAAAATCTAACCTTTACAGGCGCATATTGCTTACTTGAAACCAAGGTTAAGGGTAATAAATTCAACACAGATAATCTTCAGAAGGGAAGGAAGCAACAGTATTGATCACACGACGTTTGCAACGTACTGAACCACCACGTTCCACACGAGGCGCATATTGTAGGCGAGAACACGTTCGGATATTGTTTCCCCAACACTCCATCTTCTAAGTCTGTCACCTGCAGGTGTACGACGGATACTAACAAAACACATAACGTTGATGATTGCCGCAGCTCCAGAACCTCATTGGCGGCCACTGCAGCTTAGGTCGTTAGTCCGAACGACGGCCTCGATAAATACGTTGGAAACGTCTCAGAATAGAAATCGTCTATCATCCAGTTTTGCAGTGAGTGAGTAAGGTTTTACGCCGCTTTTATCAATATTCCAGCAATATCACGGCGGGGAACACAAGAAATGGGCTTCATACATTGTACCCATGTAGGGAATAGAACCCGGGTCTTCAGCGTGACGAGCGGACGCTTTACCCATTAGACTACCCCACCACCCCCCAGTTTCCAGTTTTGCAGGGAACGCCAGCACTGGGATAATCGACATTGCGCTAATCACATGTATTCCGACAAATGCAGGTGCCCTGTCGACTTCACAGTGCGTGGCTTCCATATAGTCCATGATAGTCACCGGTTAATACTATCAGGACAACATCATTGTACCACACGAGGTGCCACCTCACAAATGTGTTGGGCAACGTTTCGTGTTTCAAGAAGCAAGTGCTAATCATGCTGTGTGCCAATGACCCCAAACAGCAAAACTTACATAGCATTTCATGGCCAGCACTCAGTCCTGACTTTTCTCCCACTGAACACGTGTGGGGCGTCATTGATAGACGTGTACGCCAACGTCAAAATCAAACCACGACGCTCAATTAACTCTGTGCAATTCTCATGGACGGTCGACTCGGTCGAAAGAAGCATGTCTTGAAAACTCCGTGTCAAAATAGGGTTTTCTGTACCTAATACTGGTGACGTCGGCAACAAACTACAAACGCGTATAACTGTGGGTGCGTGTGTGGGTATGTACATGCATGCGTGCGTGTTGACAGTAAATGAATATCACACCAAACATATCACTACGGATTGTGGTGGATTGTAACAGCTGGAACATACGTTTTGAATCTGTACTGATTGTTAAGTAAGCAACAAAACGGATCTGCATAATGTTGCAAGCTAGACCCACCTTTGATGGAGAAGATGAGCCTGCAGAGGCTGAGGGCTGATTGGAATGAATGTTCGTCATTTACAGCATAGACGACAACGAAGGCATTTCCATGCTCGATTCTCAACCTTCTCATAGCCGGGAAGTCAGATTTCCCTGCCGTGTCAAGAATCTCTATGTTGGCATAGTTACCATCTGAAACAGAAACCATAAATTGTAACACACTGCGGTATATTCTTTCTCGACATTTATAGCATCAATATATGTTCATAAAGCTGCTCATTGTTCACAAGTAGACGAATCGATCACTCACACAGGAGGCAATGACGCAGTGTCAAATCGTAATTGATTTGCTTTTTCTAAAACAAGTGTAGTTTCCCAAGCACAGCGTTTGTTTGCAAACCTACCAGACTTCACTTGATTTCATCATCTCAATTAAGTGCCAAATGTATGAGGAATTTAGCGATGCTTGTATCTAAGCTGAGTTTGAAGCGGGGAATGCCAAATGGCTTCTTTTATTGTTCAGGAACAATAGGGATCATTGCAACAAGTAAGAATAAGATATTCTGTGTTGTTCTAAGACAATTAATGAATCCAGCAACTTTTGCTCATGGATGGATCTATAGACAGTAACAGCCCACAGTGCCGACAAGAGAGTATGCTTTTTGATATCAGAAAAAGACGTATATTCCTGAATTTGAAATTTGCAAACAAGGGAACTAAAACCTTAAAATTTAGTAATATTCCGTTTCCCGCAATATTTAAAAAAATATCAGGATCTACCAATAATTTCCTTTTCTAAAACGAACACAAATTCGTACAACCTTTGTTCATAAAGTGTGGTACATATGCTGTATTTAGTTCGAAATTATAATATTATGAAAACATTGGTCTGCGCATTTTCTGTAATTTCCACAAATGTATCTTTATACTCATTAGTTATAAAAGCTGATGTTTAGGTGAATCATCAATATGGGCTTGTTTGCTGATCTCTTTTCCTTTTGTATATTATTATTCTTTATTGTATATTACATGTGTTTCGGGAAATAAAATACTGTTTAAATCAAGATTGGTGTTATTGTTACCAACCGTAGGACCTGTTATCACAGCTGACTTTTCTGTCAAAAATGTGAATCGATTCTATGCAATATTTGTGCTAGTTACTTGTGACATGTGTATTGGTTTGGCTTTGACACTACTTTTTACACAATTCTTATTTTCAAAACGTGCCCTTTCAGCTCTTGCTTTTTTCAGAACACATGTGGATACCTCAGTTTATGACAAACGTAAACCAACCAGGCATTCTGATTAGGAGAACAACGAACAGCAGGAGTCGTCAATTTCCTATTGGTTTAAACGTATTTATTCGTGAAACGAATGGATTGGCAAACAAGCTACAAGCTTTTATTAATGCCGCTCTAATACAATTTACAAAGGTAAATAAAACACAAAATTATCATACAGGATAATCACATGACAAACCACAAGGCTAATGTACAGTCAGATGATAGTTAATATTTCAACAGCAATTTCATTATTACAACCGATATATTTCTTAAAGCTAACATTTCTTCAACCATATTTGGTACCAAATCTACAAGAAGCAGTGATGAAGAGGTATACAGATTTTAAGAAAGCTAGGTTATCGAGATCAGAAATTTCACCATTTCCATCCAGAATTCTGTTTAAACTGTACCCATTTTTATAATATACCGCATCATTTTGTTAACACAGCGTAGTTTGGACAGATAAGCAGATAGTGTTGTGTATCTTCACGGTTAGCGCCGCACGAACAGGAGGGATCGTTTGAGATATGTCTTTCAAATTTATGATAATTTTGGATCACTACAGCCTAGACGAAACCTACAATGAATAATTTGACAAAATCGACTTCCATAATGTCCTATTAGTTTTAAGCCTCCACACAAAACTATAACCTATCTGTGGACAATGTCCAATAATAATGTCAATATTTGAGTTCGTTTCACCAGCAACTGTCGAGACCGAACGCCTCATGTACAAATGCATTTGCTAAGTTCTTTGGCCTTAATAACGAAAATTGGATATTATATACCTATCCACACACCAGGTACATGCTGAAAGGGTAGAATGGATGGGTATGCACTAGATTTTTATTTCCATTCCTCTGGTGAGAATACAACTCCAAGCAAACTTCGGAAGGTTACATCTCCTCCTTAGTTATTTTTAGGGGAACAGGCTTGTACCACAAGCGTTCCCAGTATTATATACTCCGAGGCCTGTACCACAAGCGTTCCCAGTATTTATATACTCCGAGGCCTGTACCACAAGCGTTCCCAGTATTTATATACTCCGAGGCCTGTACCACAATATATTCCGAGGCCTGTACCACAAGCGTTCCCGTATTTATATACTCCGGGCCTGTACCACAAGCGTTCCCAGTATTTATATACTCCGAGGGTACCACAAGCTGTACTGTACCACAACAAGCGTTCCCAGTATTTATATACTCGAGAGGCCAGTATTTATATACTCGAGGCCTGTACCACAAGCGTTCCCAGTATTTATATACTCCGAGGCCTGTACCACAAGCGTTCCCAGTATTTATATAGGTTCCTAGAAATGTTATATACTCCGAGGCCTGTACCACAAGCGTTCCCAGTATTTATATACTCCGAGGCCTGTGCCACAAGCGTTCCCAGTATTTATATACTCACCCATTCGTTATTTGCGAACTGACCACAGCACATTACATGTTCATGTTCAATTTAAGTGAAAATATTTTGTTTGCATTCTTGTTTTCAAAAGACTTAATTTAGTGGACATAGTTCACATGGTCACGGGTCATTACTTACTAATCCTTAGTTGAGTTCTCTTACTTCTCCGAGCGCTTGTGGCATTATATCACCCATGTGTTTGTATAAACACAGTGACTGTTAATCCCCCGTAGTGCGATGGCAAAGTAAGGATAAACAAATGTGTAAATGACATTGTATTCTTAACGTTAAAAAGATATGCGACATCTAAACAAAAACAAATGTAGGCTAACAAAACATTCCAGCGGATCTGACGTTTCAGGTTTACGTTGGTTTCTCATCAAAGTCATATCTAATGGCTGGCAAACATGAAACCAGACAGACAGATAATTTATTTGAGTCTCACCTCAACATCATACATATGTACATAGAAGGGAATAATAAAACGTTGAGCCAATCTTTACAGACTTATGAGAGACTATATCATATAAAATACAAAACTAAAAGAATATAGGATATATAATACATATTTACAGTACGAAGTTAAGAATATAAAAGGGCATGTCGACGCCGAATGATAAGAAAGCAGGTTTTGGCTGTATTAAAAGACACCTGTGGATTGGACAGTAAAAATGGGATCTTATCAAAGCCACTAAAAGACAAAAAGCTCACAATAAGCTGTTCAAATTTACTAAAAAGGACACCTCTTTCAAAAAAATAAAGTGGACAGTGCAGTAAAACATGACATTCATCTTCAATAAAATCATTACAGTAAAAACATGTTCTTTTCTTTTAGAGGAGTACAATTATAACGTCCAGTTTCAAATCTTAGAGGAGCAATACCACATCTAAAAAGTGCTAAGGCACGTCTATAAGAGCGAGGCATGTGGCTAAATAAATAAAATTCAGGATGATATTCATCCTTAAAGGTAGCATATGTTCTTAACTTATTACCTCCAACTAGCAGAGCTTGTGTGCCCACCATGGCGCTATTACGGCAATTGACAGAATGATGTGTTGTTTCTTACACACCATTTGTTGTGTAATTGTGGAGAGCCACATCAATTCAAAACAGCATGTCTTCAAATTAGTATCAATATGAATATCAATACGAATTTGACCTTTTTGCTAAACCGGTTGACCTATGCATTATATGAAACAACGTTATTTGTGCGATGCTAAAGACTTAAGTCAGGTGAAACAAAGGGAGAGGAGAAAATTATTTCCACTGACCTGGGAGACGAACCATCCTTCTGTAGCTTTCCTCCACTGTAGGACGATAGTCGTCTGTGAAGGAACCTTCCATGAACTGGTGAATGAGTGAGGACTTGCCAACCTTTTCTGATCCAAGGAAGATGATTCTACAGTCCTTCATCACGGACAGCTGACGCTATGTAATCGTTCTGGTGCTGGATCAAAGCGTGAGTGGCCCGATATACGCGGCCTTTCCCCTCCGCTTACCCAGATGCTGTGGCATCCAAGCCGCCCGCCAGGTTTATATATAGGCAGGCTGATCCACCTACAGCAGGCATAAAGTGGAAGCCCTGTGTGATCCAGCGATATATTGTGTTACATGTCTTCTCTACATGAACGTGGAGTGTTAAAAGAACATAAGTTACAATTATACAATTTTAGGTTTGTGTGGTTAGTATAATTGATGCCCACCGACGACAATCGTGACGTTTATGACAAAATACCATTCACTGGTATATAATTGTTTTACCTTTTTGATTTGGTTTCATTTCTTATAAGTTTTCATTCCGTAAGTTATTCTCTTTTCATGCTCATTGGTGTCCGCCATATTTCCTGCAATCATTACGTAAAGAAGTACAATTGATAAACTGCAAAACAAGTACTATTTCATTGTGTTTCAAAGTGATCTGAGGGAATAGCAGCCTGAATTAAAAGTGTAAGCATAAAAGTATCAGCCTAGATTACCCGCCGGCCGAAACGGATTCCATTTGGCACAAAATGAACAACAGCGAGTCAAAACAAATGTAACAAGAGTAAAATTACTGTCAGCAGAGTTTTTGATAAATGAGCCCTAAAGCAGCCACAGTACCACAATTCTGAAATGTATTACCGGAGAAAACCCACATCACCCAATTCTGCAGGAACCGCCCAGATCACCTTTATCTCCACCACAAAGGGCAGATGACCCTATAGCTGGGATCACTGTACCAAGTCGTTAGGACGGCTCAATCAATTGATTTAAACATATTTTTATTCATGAAGATGAATTGGGATTGGTGAACAAGTATTACTGCTTATGTTAACACCGCTCCCATACAACGTATAATACAACATGAAATGGAGGATTTGACGTCATCGATACTGACCATTGCATAAATATAATATTTTAAAATATATATAAATATATACAGATTTCATGAAATACAACTATTCTCTAAGTAGTCATAAGTTAGAGAGTTACAGAGTTCACGCGCACTTGCACCTTAAACCAAGGTGCTCACTACCATAATATTTTTTCTCGAGTTTTTTTCTCCATGTTTTCACTTGGTTCCAAAACTACTTCCTTCGTCTGCTAGACTATACAAAAGGAGATAACTTTTTTCTCTATCTCTGGCACGAAAAAAGTCTCGATCTAAGCTTAGATCGGATCGTAAGATCGGGACCGGCTACGATCGGCCTAAGATCGGTTAGTGGAACGGGTGTAACTTTTAGCTAAGACGATTGTAAAATTGGCGTAACATGACCTCCCATCCTACCAACATGCATGATGATCGAAGTGTCATTGTAGTCTAAACAATTGAAATCGGTCATGTCCCATTAGTCCTACTCCCACTAGTCATACAGCAAATGAGGGAGTAATTAAAACAACAACAGGCATATACCCTTTGCGCAAAATGGACTAGCCCGCTAATTAGAGAGCTTGAGGTTAGTTTAATCTTTAACACTGAGAATGCCACAGTCTTTGGTAATGAAAACATATAAACGAATGTTATTAAAGTAAATTATATTGAAGTTAAATGAACATAATATACCACGACCGTTGATAATCAAAACATGTAAATCAATGTTAAACTCTACTGAGGTAACTTCTTTGAGTGGCATTTTAGAAGATGGGAAGTACAAAATTTACAAACTTTATGGATAACAACTTCTTTATTACGAGAGTGCGACGTTTCGATACAGATTCTTGTACCGTTGTCAAGCGCTAGTTGGTGAAGGTCATTCTCGATATTGGCGATAACTATATCAGAGTTAATTCATGCAGAAGTGGGAGCAAATTTTAGACCCTTGGCTAAGGCATTTGCTTACTAACCATCAGGTAAATGCCTTAGCCAAGGGTCTACAATTTACTACATTACTCTAACGAAGATGAAACTCAACACTGTACTGAAGTCAAGTAGTCAAAACCTGTAATCTTAAGAGATATTACTTTGTAAGAAATGAGTGCTATATAGTCGTTCTCTGAGGTTTACTACTTATTCGAGTGTTATCATTTGGAAAATGATCGAAAGCGATAATTCCTGAACGTATATGCCTTATCACCTCTAATACATCAATTATGTTGTACTTCTAAAGCATCATAAAACATCATAGCCCGTGAAGACGCGGGTTAGAATTGATCTTCAGTAACCCATGCTTGTCGTAACGGGATAGGGTGGTCAGGCTCTGACTTGGTTGACACATGTCATCGTATCCCTATTGCGCAGATCAATGCTCATGCTATTTATCACTTGATTGTCTGGTCCAGACTCGATTATTTACAGACCGCTGGAGTGCGGCGTAAAACTACACTCATTCACTAAAGCATCATAATAAGAAAGCCTAGCAGATCTGTCTCTGGTGCACTATATATTGCATTTATAGTGCATAAGTCCGTACTCGTACGACTATATCGTTAATTTGTTCTAAAACCGATCCTGTTGGATTCATTTTGGATTATTCAATGTCAATTGTCAACGTCAATCGTGTTTACAGCAAGATACAAAGTATCTGATTTCTGTTTATGTCTCTTCTAGACTGGCTGGCGCAGCTGTTGCTCTCTTTCATATCGCGCTCGTGGCAGACTCTCAGAGGATACACGTGAGAAGTCAGTTCGAAGAATGAAGAATTGACACTGTGGCCGTGTACAGAATCTCACTGCTCTGGATCGACCAAGCTCTTGAGGAATGGTTGGTGAAGATGGGAACAGATCACAGCTGCATCAGCTGCTGACTCCAGAATGTTCTTTAATCCGTCTGTCGCTTCCAACTGTAACACCTCAGTTATGGGTGAGTGAGTAAGTTAAAATTTATCGTCACATCGGCAATAATTCAGCCATATCATGACGAGAACAATTAATTTTATACATAGTAATTAATGGTAAACTGTAAAAACATGTCAACGAAGGACAGTAAAATAACTAGATTATCACAGATTTGAATTTAAAACTAGTAATTAAATATAGATGACAATACAAGGTAAAAACAGGCTATATATTGCCAACAACTGAAGGTAGATCACCATACTAGGGACCATGGGGACTTAAGTACATTTGCTTCCTGCATGGATTTACACCATCCCTTCAGCCGTTAGCGGTTTAGACACATTTATCCACATATTAAAAACACACATATTCTACGATTAAAAATGTTGGATTGATTTAAATTGACTTTGAATGTTTTGGGACTTACGTACACCTCAGTTATAGTGTATTGTTGATCATATACATTGTTGTCTTGTATAGCTTCCCTGTCTAATGAAAACATTGCATGTAGAGAACGCAACATATGTACACAGCACGTTGAACCTGTTGGCAGAATTCACATTTTACGATTGAAAAACCTCTCCTGTAAAATATACCAATGGTAAGGAATTGATGTTAAAACAATTTTATGGAATATGGAACCAGTATCAACCACATATGAAGCTTTATTTATAGAAGTCACGTTGCCTGTCTCACAGTCCCTGAACCATACAGTTTCCCCATCGACCCCGCAATGCCTGTAATGCAAATGCTGTAAATGTAATACGTGTCCAGTCTCTCTTCTCAGTGGGGATCCTTTTCAATTTAACCCGTGAAAGTCCGGATTAGAATGAACCTTCAGTAACCCATGCTTGTCGTAAGAGGCAACTAACGGGATCGAGTGGTCAGGCTCGCCGGCGTGGTTGACACATGTCATCGCTTCCCAATTGCGCAGATCGATGCTCATGCTGTTGATCACTGGATTGTTTGGTCCAGACTCGATTGTGTACAGACCGCCGCCACATAGCTGGAATATTGCTGAGTGCGGCGTAAAACTAAACTGACTCACTCCTTTTCAATTTACATGGAGCTGTAACAGAGTCTAAGCGTTAGTCTTCTTTCTTTAATAGAGAAAAATATGTATAAAATACAACTGAGTTGATGATAATAACAACGCAAATAATGTTCTTTATGGTCATTATTAAATCGCCGTAATCAATCACAAATCAATCCAGGTGAGGTCTAGGTCGTCGACAGTCGATTACAACGTCCATTTGGTTATAGCAGTCACGAGGCATTTACGTTCGGCAGGAGTAATGTTTAGCGCTTGAGGTCGATTCAATCCGCTTCGTGCAGTGTCAAGGTATAGCGGCGGAGAGGTGAACAGCAGGCCCTACCCATATGTCCAAGACGTGCATCCGTTTGAAGGAAAGGGGGGTATTGGTATGGGGATGCGTGTTGGGGCAAGGTTTATGCACACTGGGATCAGGTTTGGTACAAGAAGATGCCCCTTATACGAGGAACATTCTTCAACAAGATAACATTAGATCTCAAGCAGCAGGTCCACCCACGTCTTGCTGACGTCAATGTTTTGTCATGGCCGGCCGTTCTACTGACATATCTAAATGAACACGCATGAGCTGATCTTCGCAGACGACTGATACTCCAACGACAATCACATAGCATAAAACAACCCGTAGAAACTCTGCGCCAAGAGTGAAGGGCGATCCCTGTGACATCATGTGCCGACTCAGGGTGCCCGTGAGGCAATGGGTACTGGCTTGCATAACCACAAATGACAGTCATACAAGATATACAGTATAGTACCAACTTTTCGAGCGTCAATGTCATTAGGAATTTCTGTGTATTTTTTTTTCAACCGTTTATGTGTTTGACTGCTGGTACAATGATGAAAAATTAGTTTTACTTGCACCATAGACTAATACATGATACATTTACGTGAATCAATTTCAGAGGATTTCAAAGGATCTGCTGTTATTCTTATCCTGCTACTTGAACAGTCTGAAACTTGCCAGGAAAGTAGTACTTCATTTTCTGACTCTAGGTCATCTCCCTGGAGTATCCAGGTACGTAAATCATCCCTAAAATATGTTTCGATACCAGTGATCAAATAAGTTACCCACCCACTTATGACTAGATCAATACATTGAATAAAATGTTATTATATT